TTTGATAGGTTTTGCTCTTCGATTCTTGAGTTTCTTGTTGCTGTTTTGATCTGATTATTGAGATCCTTAGAAGTGGTCCATTTATATATAAGGAAGTAGAGGTTGAAGAGAGAACGTTCTTCGAGTTTCTTGAAAAGAGAAAGTGCTCTTTTTCTAAAACCTTCGTTTGTTGTCTAGAGGTCTTTAGACACTTATGATTTTTTAGGAGCAGTGACCAGATTTTTCTTGGAATTTCATGAAGTTTCGGTTGTTGAAACAAGACGACATGCATTCCTTAGTTCACACATAAACGACGTGCCGTTTTTTTTTTATTCTATGATATACTTTTTACTATCTCGGGCTCAGTTTGATAAAGGCCCATCCTGCTTAAGACTCTCTAGATATCTTTTTGTTTTTCTTCTCGCTACATATTGTTCTAAGATATCTTCTTATTTCAAGTGAAAACAGAAACCACAATGTCTACTATATGACGACCATCTCAAAAGTCCAAAAGTCACACCAAAGTAAAACTATCGTTTAGCAATAGAGAGCTTCCTTGACGAGATAAAGAATGAAATTCATCTATATGGCTTTAAAAGCTAATTCTTGTATAATATTTTGACTATATCAAGACCGACCCTAACTTAATGATTCATTCAGTTCACAGTTTTAATACATTAGAAATCTAAATCTAAACACTCAATTTGTTATACTGAACTGAATATGCTTATTTTTAATTAAGATTATCCTTAAATTTCTAACGTTAATAGAAAACAAAATAGATTAAAAGCTTTGATAATTATCGAAAACTTAAATTGTCATCAATTTTAACGTGTACTTAAAATGCGTTATAACAGAATTATTGAGTTTTCGTCTTATAAATAGCTGTTACATATCTTCATCCAAAATAACAAATACAACAAATTCTCTCTACATCTTTTTTCGTTCCACCACAATATATCACTATACTCTCAAACACAAGAAGCTATGGCAAAACTTAGCACTCAACTTACTACACTATTCATCGTTGTAGCTTTAGTGTATGCAATTGTTCCTGTGTTTTCGGTTGAAGAAGTCGAAGCAAAAAGAGTTTGGAATACATGTCTTGTTAAAATCACCCCTAAATGTGCGTTGGATATCATTGATGTTGTCTTTGGAAATGGTACTCTCTCTGATTCATGTTGCCACGATCTTGTCAAAGAGGGAAAAGCATGTCACGATACGCTCATTAAATACATTTCAGACAGACCAAGCTTAATTGCCAAAGAAACTCAGTACTTAAAGAAGAGAGATGATTTGTGGGCTCAATGTGTTTCCATCCCTAAAACTGTTTGATTTATGTATTCCTCATATTATTTTGATCGAATAAAACGGTAACTCATTGTTATTATGTTTTCTTTACACAAATTTATGTGTAAGCGTAACTACCTTTTATGCATTACAATTGCTATCAGAAAAGAGGCGATTAAAGACGGAAGTCAGCTAGTGAAAGTTTCGTTACTATTCTTGCTTCAAACTGGACCACTCGTCGCTCTATTTGCATAGTATACTGTTGAATGAATTTGATTTTGATTTCTTAAATTAAAATCTGTCTTATCACCTAATCAAGTTTTCTACCATTTTTTATTTCTTCTTAAACACTTAAACAAATGTATGTGTTAAAAATTTGAAGATATCAACTTTCTGGAATAAGAAAAGTTGGAGTTGTCGCAATAAATGAAACTAATTTTCCAAACATGCATAGATCTTTTAATTGGATTTTGTCTCAATACATACCCGAACTGAGCCATGTTCTGGTTAACAAATATAGACACCAATTACTAATCAAGTAATACTGAAAAAGGAAATCTAAAATATTCGGTTATTGCTCGTTCATGTCATCATGCTTGGAACAGAAGTAAGGAAGATAGATATATAAAACGAAACAGAAAAAAAGGAAAAAAAAATGAACTGTAGTTACCTTTTATGAGGGAAATTTGGGGTTAAAATTGAAAATGTGAGATGGTTTGGTTTTCTAAACAATAAAGCTTGCATGAAGAAAGAGAGAAACAAAAAGCTTTACATTGTGAAGATGCTACTAATTGAACAAACCTACATGAAGTCAATGCTGCTGCAGCAGCAAGCTTGGTCTCTTTTCCATGTGCTCGTACTGGACAACAAAATGTTCCTGCAATAACCATTCCCCCCCCCCCCAAAAAATACACTAAATACATTGCAAATTTTCAAGTATTAAGAAATATTTATCCTGCAATAATCGTTTTGGTTTACCTTTCTGACTGTTTTGAACGAGTTTGGATCGAGGCATTCGTATGTTCCTCTTTCATATACAGCTGACCTGACCAAAGGTTCCCCAACTCTGAAGAACCATAATCTGAGATCCTTGTGGTAAAACCAACCTCTTTCGTAACTGCAAGATACCAATCAAAATTCAAAAGCCTAATCCCAAGACGGAGAATTTAACGAATAATCAAGATTATGGCCGAGAAAAAAACATACAGTTCATCTGCTGCGTATAGCTGGGCTTCGTCTTTTGGCATACTGGAACAATGAGCAAAGTAATATGTTAAATTGGACAAAAGATGAGCCATGAGTTGGCAAATGAGAAGTAGAATGCTGTTCTCTTAACAGACCTGTAAAATGTGTAAAACAGTAACTCATAGGAGAACCTTTTGAAACTTGCACGCTGCAACCAACAGGAAATGACAACACATTTGTTAACAAAATTGAGAAAAGGAGTGAGAGAATACATTGTTGGTGCTACCCAAGATCATAATAAACTTACAGTTAGAGGCGGAGGTGGTGTGGCATAGTAACAACTTGGTGCTGTGAACTCGACCTCGGTCTTTGCCGGTTCATTGGTCCAAGGCGAAGCAAATGTCTTGTATAGATTTCCAGTTGAATTCAAATCTAATCCTAGCGTCGTTAAGTCGATGCCAAGGGAAAGAGAGGTTAATTCAGGGTTGCTCCTGTTTAGTACGTCTAACAAGCCAAGCAAGCAAAAAGGATCTGCCTCTGACTGTGCTGACTTCATCTCAGAATCTCTAAATTGGTTGATCGATGACATTTGTTGCACAGGAAATTGGGATTGATTT